CATGGGTATAATTATTGACATAATGGAGTGCATTATGGAGTGATATCAACATGGGTATAATTTATTGACATGATGGAGTGCATTATGGAGTGATATTGGCATGGGTATAATTTATTGACATAATGGAGTGCATTATGGAGTGATATTGACATGGGAATAATTTAATGACCTGTAAGCCTACTACTTACTATCACTATCAGTAATTTCATCCTCATTTTTCCATCTTTCTATTTTACGTCTGCATCTTTCTGTCAATTCTTTGTTTAGCATGGTGTTCTTCGCAAACTCCATCAACGTGGTCAGACATGGGTAGTTCGGTGGTTCTCGAAAATCTGATGGATTCTCGTCTAACCACATTGTTAATACCGACTGCACAGATCTGATATTAAACCATAAATATTTAAATCAGGAATGTGACCATATATTTTAATAGTACGTGTACATAAATCTCTCTGTTGGCACAATGACTATTTTTTATTTGACCTTGTTTCGAGCAAAAACTAAATACATTTTTGTACACACATACTACGCTAAAACAACTGTGCATGAAATCTCAACATAGCAACAGGTAAAACTGAACCTAATGATGCAATCATCCCAAATTTTAATCATTTTAAAAAAAAAATTAAGAAATCCAACAAATATTTATTTTCAAGGATTTTCAGCTTATGTCATATTCTAATACAGTTCAGAAATATTTGATTCATATTACCAACAAAGTACAGAATATTTCTTTTAAATGTTGGAAAGGAAAACAATCTTAGTTTACCGGTACTTACTTCCTGATAAGTAGCTTTGTTCCTTTCTTCATAGACCGACTTTTAGAACCACTGTGTCTATCACTGGCCAATGTGTACCTGTAAATAGATTTGAGGCGATGGAAGAATAGATCAGAAATTATTCACGAGAACAAATCAGAAATATGTCATGAGAGAACAGAACATAAACCCATTATCAGAGAACGGATCAGAAATCCATCATGAGAGAACAGATCAGAAATCCATCATGAGAGAACAGATCAGAAATCCGTCATGAAAGAACAGATCAGAAATCCATCATGAGAGGACAGATCAGAATCTTTCATAAGAGAACAGATCAGAAATCTGTCATGAGAAAACAGATAAGAACCTGTCATTGAGAGAACAGATCAGAAATCCATCATGAGAAAACAGATCAGAAATTCCATCATGAGAGAATAGATCCGTCATGAGAGAATAGATCGGAAATCCATCATGAGAGAACAGATCAGAAATCTGTCATGAGAACAGATCAGAACTTGTCATTGAGAGAACAAATCAGAAACCCATCATGACAGAACAGATCAGAAATCCATCACGAGGAACAGATTAGAAATCTGTCATAAGCCAACAGATCAGAACAAATTAAAATATATATTATAATTGAAATATTATAATTGATATTTATAAATGTTGAATTACTTTAGCAAGGTCTTTGTTCAAGCAATTGGCATCTGTTCTGTTTATGTGCTATACAACCTGTCAATTTCATAATTGTGATTACCACAAAAGCAAAGATAGAATGTAGAGATGTCCCTTACCTCTGTATTAATAAATTTAGTATCTTTTCGGTGGATGTAAATGACTGGTAGGTATTCAGAAAGATATTAATAAAACTTGAATCCATGTGGTTCATTGCTTGCGTTAATTCTTCAACTAAACGTTCTAATGTGGCAGATTTTATGACGTATTCCCGCCTTGTTTCCCATTGTATTCCGGAATATTCTTCTCCGGATAAGCTGGCAGTGGTAGAATAACTAAGGAGCTTTAAGAAGAAAAAAAATCAGAAATATGAAACAAACTTTAGTATACTGTTATGTGTTAAAAATATAGTCTTAAATTTTGAATAGCACATTAGCAGAGATCATGTGACTTCCGATCTGAGGCTGGCAAATTTTAGTGGTTTACAAAAGCACATTGTTTTCCTTGGAATAACTTGAGAAAATGCAAAACGGATAATAATTGTTGGACGTTATACAAATACACATTATGTCTGCCATTCTGTGTGTTGGTTATGACATGACATTAATTACATTTTAAAAATGCCAATTTTTTTTCTTGCAAATGCAATTGGGTCCAAAAACAGAGTGTGAACATTAGACTACCGTACACATTAAGTTACTGAGAATAAATCTGCCTACGCTGAACACCATTTTCCAGTGCCTTTTTTAAAGAACTTGCTTGTCTGCATTAATTCCATAAACCGGCAAACTCAACATCTCAGTAAACTCAACACCTCAGTAAACTCAACACTTCAGTAAACTCAACACTTCAGTAAACTCAACACTTCAGTAAACTCAACACTTCAGTAAACTCAACATCTCAGTAAACTCAACATCTCAGTAAACTCAACATCTCAGTAAACTCAACATCTCAGTAAACTCAACATCTCAGTAAACTCAACACCTCAGTAAACTCAACATCTCAGTAAACTCAACATCTCAGTAAACTCAACATCTCAGTAAACTCAACATCTCAGTAAACTCAACACCTCTGTAAACTCAACATCTCGGTAATTCAACATCTCAGTAAACTCAACATCTCAGTAAACTCAACACCTCAGTAAACTCACCATCTCAGTAAACTCAACATCTCAGTAAACTCAACACCTCAGTAAACTCAACACCTCAGTAAACTCAACACCTCAGTAAACTCAACACCTCAGTAAACTCAACACCTCTGTAAACTCAACACCTCAGTAAACTCAACACCTCTGTAAACTCAACACCTCAGTAAACTCAACACCTCTGTAAACTCAACACCTCTGTAAACTCAACACCTCTGTAAACTCAACATCTCAGTAATTCAACATCTCAGTAAACTCAACACCTCAGTAAACTAAACATCTCAGTAAACTCAACATCTCAGTAAACTCAACACCTCAGCAAACTCAACACCTCAGCAAACCCATCAACCCCTGTAAACCCATCAACCCCTGTAAACCCATCAACCCCTGTAAACCCTTGATAAATTGAACATCCCTGTATAGTGAACAATTTTTTTTTATGTTTGGTTTAAACAGGTTTCATAGTAACACTTTTAGGGATTTTTTTAAACAAGGGAATATTGGCACAGCGCCCTTATGCCATGGCCATGCACCCCCTCACCCTGGGGAGCAGATCCTCTGGCAACCATAAAATTCTGATTGACCAGGGATCACATGTGGCCATGTCTTCAACTGTGACCTGTCTGATAGTAATTTTGGCTCCAAGGAAGCCATAGAATGCTCTATTTTAACTTAGAATTATCAAAAACTCCACACCCTGGTAGGGAGAACCCTATCTCCCAACTTGGTGGCGCCGCTGAATTGCAGTGTGCCCTCTTGCAGTTTTTTTCTAGAACAAGCAGCCAGTCGGCTGAGATAGCTCCGCTGTTAGCAATGAACATTTCAATTAAAGAACAGAAGATATTATTAGAAAATGAACAATATGTATAGTATCAAAACAATCAGACTTGCTGTTTTCAACAAGAATTCAAAAATATCAAAAATAATCATCAAAATTAGATAATTGAGGATATCACCACGAAATTAACAAATCTGAAAGAGGTCCACATGTAGTACCTATATATGTAATATCAAAGCAATTGGACTTGTGGTTTTAACAAGAAGTCGAAAATATCACTTTTTACCAAAAATGACAAAAATATTCATCAAAATTAGAGATTTAAATATATCATCACGAAATGAACAAATCTGAAAGAGGTCCACATGCAGTACCTATATATGTAATATCAAAGCAATTGGACTTGTGGTTTTAACAAGAAGTCGAAAATATCACTTTTTACCAAAAAGTGCAAAAATATTCATCAAAATTAAAGAATTAAAGATGTTATCACAAAATGAACAAATCTGAGAGAGATCCACATGTAGTACCTATATATGTAATACCGTATCAAAGCAATAGGCCTTGCCATTTTAACAAGAAGTTGAAAATATCACTTTTTACCAAAAATATTCATCAAAATTAGAGAATTTGAGATTTTGACATGAAATGAACAAATCTAAGAAAGAACCATCCAAGGTACTTGCATATCAAATTTGAAAAAATTCTGACTTGCGGTTTTGAAGAAGAAGTTGAAATTGTAAAGTTGACGACGACGGACGCCGACGACGGACAATCAGTATTATGAACAGCTCCGCTGTGTCGACTTAGCGGAGCTAAAAACCTCCGATTCTCATTGTAAAAGGTTGACCATTACAAACACAAACACAGTGAGATTCAAATTACAAAAAAAAATTATATGAAAAAAAAAACACAATTTACACAGCAACATCTTCATAGAAAAAAATTCAGTTCAAAACTATGTGGAGAAGAAATAATTTGAACAGTAGTTGTACCAACCCTGAGATTCTAATGGTAAAACCCTAAGTAAGGTTTTTATTCGCCAAAGATGGGTCTTAAAACAATAATAAAAAAGATACAATAATGTCTTCTTGATCAGCCCCATCCCACATAGCTATCATTTTTTCTCTGAATTGCCTCCATGACATGAAAATGTGTATCTTGTGGGTGTGGTCGATTCAACCAAGATTAAACATTACATCATAAAAAATAATCTTTGTAAACACAGCACAGTGTGTCTATTGATGTGACATTTATTTATTGACTTTTATCAGATTTTACACTTTGCAATTTATGTTTTGTGGCCACATGTTATAAATTCTACGTTTCTCATGATTCTTGATATCGTGTTTGTCATCAGTCGATAACGGCGCGTTACATTTCAACTTTGCTGCAGCACATTTACACTTCGCTAATGGCCAAAACTAACTTTTACACCATGAATTTTTATACGGAAATGGTTATCATTTAAAATGATGTTCTCATTTACAGAAAAGTAAAATAAACACAAAACATCACTCAACTCATCGACTGCTGAAAGTTTCCATGGATAGCCACAAATTTTCAATATGTATAAAAAAGTATCAATGAATATTATAATTATTTTAATTTGTTACAGAAATCTGGACATTTTTGTAATTTTTCACAAAGTCTAGTTTCTATATTTAGCTCTTGTTTAAAAAAAAATCATAGAAGTATTATCTACAATTATTTTAACCTTGGCAGAAATAATGGAATAATTTCAAAATGCATAGAAACATATATACTATATTCTATATATAGCACATCTCAGTTAGCTCACCTGTGGGTCTGTGTTTGTGCGTGATATTGGATTACGTGTCGTATTGCTTGGAGGTGCTGTTACACTGTTGAAATATTTCACTTTGCGTAAATAAACATTGTACACAACGCCATCTTTTATTTCCTCACCCCATAGATGCGGGTTGTCAGTCTACAAAAAAAACAAAAACAAATTAATTTACAGAGCAAGTACAGCAGATAGCACACTTGCTAAGTACCATGAAGGTTCAATGGGTTTTGATTCATGGTGCAGACTCCATACTCAAAGCACTATAAATCTACAGTCTTCCCTGCCTTCAAAACAAAATTAAAAATTTATATAAATATAATGCAGAAGACTTATAGCAAAACACTTTTGTTCAACAGCAAATGTTCATGACACTGGAAAACCACACAATTTTAATAGATAATGGATTTACAAAGTCACAAACACATGTAGCAGTACATCGAGTAAAAAACAAAAATAATTAAGCTAAAAAATGTTCGTGGTCTAAAATTAGTTGGCTTTTTATTTTTACTAATATTCTGAATTATTATTAAATCTATGACTTTTTATGAAAACATTTTTTTTTCTAAAATTCAGAAAAAGAAAACATAAAAAAATGAGCGATGCAAAACGTTTTTAACTGATGCACATAGTGATCCGAAACATAAATAATTTATTTGCCTCTACCTGTACTACACAACTGAACAAATAGGAGTGTCAAGTATCCACTATATTCTGTTATCAAAAAGCCGCTAGCTAACTAGAAAACTACTATGACTACTTGTCAAAACAGTATAGTTGTGCTACATGACTATATTAGTGTTTGAAACAAAACTACTGTGAAATACTTTATTTTCACTTGGAATTAATTTTCACTATTTCAGCTGAAGGAGTGATACATTGAAAATAAAATCCAGCGAATACATTTTTTCCCCTATATTTTACATTAAACTCTCCAAAAATCAGTGAAAATAAATTTCATGCAAAATACCCAAAAAGTT